TCCTGTTCGTCTAATAGATTTTTCTGAAGTTGGAGACGCTAGCAATTTTTGGCTCCACCCACCACGCTGTATTTTAGATTCCTATCGAATATTTTGTGATTTGTGGTTTGGGGTGCAATGATGCAAACCTACCTAAAGTCGACTTTCTGCTGTCGTCAGTATCGACTCGTCGCCGAAATGAACGAGTTTCTCCCTATAAGAGAAATCCCTTCAGTTCGAAACATCTTGACGACTCTTCATCGACAGATCATCACTAGCCGCAGTCGATGACGGATCATTCAATGGCACCGCATCTATATCGTCCTCATCTCTCTGATCCTCTTCATCCTCTATCAGTCTCATTCTTCACGAGATATATCGCATTGTTCCGATGATCACGTGTTGCAAATTCCTTATCTCATCGTCCTTTCCTCATCGATTGAATGGTGGTCACATTTTTGAGCGCAATTCCGAATTAGTATAGATTTTCACATCATATTGGTCGTATTCAGATCGCTATGGTTGAAAACTTGGTCGAGCCTCAGTGTGTACTAATTACGGGTGGATGTGGATTTATTGGGTCAAATTTTATTAATTTTATTGCTGAACGTTGGAAATCAACCAGGTAAGGCATTTGTCATTTGGATAATTACCGCCCGAAGTACCTGTTAGGGAATAACGATGGCATGACAACTTCTCTCTTACTGGGTTCCAGATTATTCAATTCAGTTATTATTGACATCATGTTGATAAGGCTAAATCTTATTTTCCAAGTCAATATTCATGCGGTTTCAGAATTGTCAACTACGATAAGTTAGCGTTTGGCGCCTCACCTTATCATGTAGAAAAACATATTCGAGAGTCCAGCAGGTGGGAACTATGTTTCTTTTCTTCGGATTTTTATTCTATTCGTGGTAATCGCTGCCCCTTCTTTTTTCACCATTTTCGTGAATGATTTTGTTTTTATTCGCTATGAACAGTAGGAGAAACTAGCGGAACAATCCAGCTTACTGCTAAATTACAGTCCTCATCATTGCGGACCGCTGGGGCGTGTCAGCCAGAAGGAGTGCGCACGACTGCATGAAGCCGTTTCGCTTTTTGTTGGAAAAGTGGTAGAAAACGAGTAATACGAAGGATATAATACAGTAATGCACTTGCCGCTTCAAAAACTGGTGCAGAACGACTTTGCCAAACCGCACCAAATGCAGCCGCACTGCCACGCCCCACCGGTCCGCAATGATGAGGACGTTACTTCTTTTCTCATATTAATTCCGTCTATACCTCCGGGCTAATTCCTTGCGAATTTGTGCCTATTTAGATACTACTCTTTTGG